GAATTTAATATCCCCCACTCTATCAACCTTATATGTCCATCTCCAGAAGACAGTGTTCAGCCAGTCTTGAGTTTCTTCTGAACCAGTGCTTTTGGGCAGGAATATGAGGCACCCATATGGTTGGCCTGTGTTGCACATTCTTTGTGTCACAATGTCAAAAAGTGAGGAATTGTGACCAACAACCTCATTCCACAAAGCTGCATATGATAGTGGAGAAGTTTTCAAAAGGAAGAGAACAGAAGAGTGCTCTTTTCAGAAGCAACTATAGCTATTGCGCTTAAAAAAAAAAATAGAGACGAGGTCTCACTGTGTTGCCCGTGCTGGTCTTGAACTCCTGAGCCTAAGTAATCCTCCTGCCTCAGCCTCCCAAAGTGCTGAGAGTACAGGTGTGAGCCACTGAACTTAGCCTCACACTTTTTTTTTTAAGTTTTACTATATTGCCTAGGCTGGTCTTGAACTCCTGGCCTCAAGTGATCTTTCTGCCTTAGCTTCCTGAGTAGCTGGAATTACAGGTGTGAGCCATCATAGCTGGTTACTATCACACTTTTAGTCAACTAAAATTTACAAGAGCAACTCAGAGTTACATAAAATGTTAATATTGCCATAAAAAGATGTACTCTTGCAGATTTGATAATTCATCAAGTAATTCACATTTTATTCCCCTCTTTTACCATCATTCTTTCATAGTGTCATAAAAGAGTAAAACCATTAAAAGAAAAAGAATTTTAAATGAATCATTTTCTCTATTTTACTTCAATATTGTGTTGGCCTCTCTCTCTAGCTCTCCAAAAAATCTTCTCACAGAGATTTGCAGTTGTCATTTGACTTAACAGTCTCCAACAACTGTGAGAAACCCTTTCAAGCAGAGATGAACATTTTATTTCTGTTCCAGCTGGGCCTCCCCCGGCATTTGGCTGTATACAGGTGTTCAGGGAAGGTATGTGGAATGAATCAGGGAGTGACTGCATGGCACATGCCTGCCTGGCTGGAGGAGCCAAACTCAGAAGAGTCAAGTAGCTGAGACTGCACAACACATTGTGCTGAATTTGGAATTTGAACTCTTTTATCTTATTTTCTCCAACTTAGCTTTTCAGTCAAGAGGGTAGTATGTGTGCCAGTCCACAAATTTCAGCCTCTTTGTGTGCTTAGTGACTGAATCATAGCTGTGGCATTTGGTTCTACAACGGGGACAGGAAGGCAGTCTCAGAACTTCCTGGCAGTGTTGTCCCACACCCCTGAGAAGGGGCTGCTTCTAGTGCCTTCTTCAGGAACTTACTGTGTGGCAGAAGTTAGACTAATGATCTGTGCTTTCATGGACTTCTTGTGGAGTCTGAGCAAGAGAGCAGGCAGGGGAGCTGCCCCACTGGCTAGAAACTCATCTTCTCAGCTGCTCTCTCTTTTATCTTCATTTTCTGTTGGCTCCAGTTTCTTTCCCATGCAGGCAAACCAATGTCCAGTGAGCCACACTGCTCCTCCCAGACCACTCTTCCCTCTTGGGAACTCCAAACCCCACACACTACATTGGACTGGAATCAGTTAGGAGCAAGGACAAAAACTTCCAGATTGATATGAAGACTTGTCCTTTCTTTTTAAATACAAATCAAACTCTCTGGAAAATATAAGGGCAAGTCTTTCTCCCATTAAAACAAGTTGCCCTCAGAGCTGGCAACTTTGTATTGTAAGGGGTGGCCATATCAATTGAGGTTCAACCAGAAAGCCAGAACTAGCAGGATATCTATATTAAGAGATTTATTCAAGGAATTGTTTTATGCAATTGTGGAGCCTGGCTAGGAAAGTCTAAACCCACAAGAAAGACTGTCAGAAAGGGTGGGCTGGAACTCTTAAACATGGGCTCAAGCTGCTGTCCACAAAAGAAAAATCTTCTTCAGGGAGGCCTGAGCTACCTCTTACAGTCTTTCAATGAATTCAATCAGCTTACCTAGATTGTCTAGAATAATCTCCCTTACTTCAAATCACAGATTATGGACTTTAATCACATCTATAAAATACCTTTACTGTACCACCTAGATTGGTGTTTGATGGAATAACTGGGCCATGATAGCCTAGCCAAATTGACACATGAAACTGACTGCTAGAGTGGCCAGATGGATTTCTAGTAGATGCTTTGTGGACTTTTGAAATACAGGCTTTATCCTGCAACAGATTGCAAAACCTCTCTGCCTTTATACTGAATTGTAAAGACTCTTAAAAGAACCATTTTGACAAGGTATACTTAGATGAATGTTCTTGAATATATGTCTTACTATTTCTTTTGGTTTGGTGTTTGTTTCATAAGCTATATCGGGTCCATTTAGGTCAACTTGGGTAAGGTAGTGACCATGTATAGTCTATGAACCTTTATTTAGAGATCACTCTTTCTATATTTGTAGTCTGTATTTTTCTTTTCTGATATTGCCTTCATTACCTTCCACAAATATTCACTGGACCTCTGTAATAAGTCAGGAGCTACTTTAATCCCTTAGAATACGTCATTGTATAAAATAGTTTCTGTTTCTATAGTGCTTGTATTCTACTGAAAGACAATAAAATAAACAAAATAATTATTTAATTTTGTAGTGGTGATAAGTAGGGACAAGTGATAAGAATAATAAAGCAGTGAAAGGGAATAGACAGCGATGAATATATATGTATGTGTAGAGCTAGCTACACAACTTGTGGGGCCCAGTGAAAAATGAACATTCAGTGTTTCTTATTCAAGAAACAGAAGGCCAGGCATGGTGGCTCATGCCAATAACCCCAGTGCTCTGGGAAGCTGTGACAGGAGGATTGCTTAAGGTCAGGAGTTCGAGACCAGCCTAGGCAACACAGCAAGACCTTGTGTCTATAAATAGATAAATAAATAAACACACAAACAAATAAATAACTAGGTATGGTGGTGTACACCTGTAGTCCAAGCTCCTCAGGCGGTTTAGGTAGAAGGATCGCTTAAGCCCAGGAGTTCGAGGCTGCAATGAGCTATGATCATGCTGCTGCAAAGGTACTAAAGCATCAAGACTTTTTCTATGAGTCTTTTTCTGGAATAGTCATGGTGCTTTAAAAATTAGTATTATTTGCTATTTAATGCTAAGTAAAGAAAAATGAGCAATTTAGATTATGAGGTATGAATTTATAGGGTGCCGTGCCCACTTTAAATGCAAATGTAAGAGTAGAATCATTGAAATTACACAATTTACATTTCCTGGTTCATACTGAATTTTGTTTTTATCAGAATAGAAAGAATGCTGCACAAGAGAATCTTACCTGCTTTTATTTCACTTCTTGATACTTGCACATTCTACCACCATTTCAGCTTCAGCTCACTGATGAGTGAGGAAAGCCTGATGGGAGAGGGAACTGTGGTCACCCTGCCTTTTCCTTTCCTCCTGGGTCATTGTGTAAGTGATTGTCTAATACAGTGTAATGATACAGATGGGTAAGGCTATGACAGGATTCCTTGATCGTTCATGTTGCTTAGAACAAAACTGATTTATTTTTGCATTTAAAGCAATTTCTGTTTCCAGAGCATGGCCTCTTGGGGCTGGTGTGCCCCTTCTCACTGAGTCATAGGCTTAGCATTCTTACCTTGTACTCCCTTTGACTCTTGTTGATGTCATGGGTCCATTGGAATTCTGTGCTCATGGGGCATCACTGATGCTTTGTGCAAATGGGTGGCAAGACTTGGGGAGGCACATATTGTGTGCCTCTCCTCTACTCACATAGGTTTTGCATTGTCCCATTAGACTTCCTAAACACAAGTCCAAAGATAAAATTTCAAGATGGAGATATTAAACCAAACGCATTCAACCAAGCATGGAGCCCTTCTGAGTGTGGGGCCCTGTGTGATGGCATACACTGCCTGCCCATGAAGCCAGGCTTGTGTATGTGTATACATACATGTGTGTGTGTATGTCTATGCTGAGTTAGATGTTAATGAGCAACAGCAGTCTCATGAGGTGACATTTGACCGGGGACCTCAAGAAGGCTAGGAAGCAAGGCTTACAGATACCTAGGGTAGGAGCAACATGTTCAGAGGTCCAGGCACATATATCTTTGGCTTATACGCAGAAGAGTAAGGAGGTCATTGTGGCTGGTTCCCTAAGTGAGAGGATGAGGAGTAGGGGATAAAGTCAGAAGGGCTATAGATCTCTGAATCATACATGGCCTCGAAGGGCAAGGTAAGGACTTGGAATTTTTCTATGAGGACATGAGAAAACTTGGGAGAGTTTGACAGAGGCGTGGCATGGCATGATTAGATTTTAAAAGGATCTCTCGCTGTTGTGTCACAATACTTTGTGTAGGGACAAGGTTGAAAGTAAGGGGCCAGTTTGGACGTTGTTATAATAGACCAAGCAAAGATGGGCTTTGGATTGCATAGTATATACAGCAGTGACTAAATGTGGTTGGATTCTGGTTGTTTCCAAAACTAGGGCCGACAGGAGTTGCATGTGGAATGGATATTTACCTAGGGTCCTGGCTTCAGACAGCAGATAAAAGTGGTCCATCAAGATATAGTGAATTTCTCCAGATTCTAAGACTAGTACATGAAAGAGGTGGGGAAGACAGAGAACAGAAATCTTATGTGCTTTTTCATTTGTTCTCCTCCTTCTACAATATGTCTAGATGTTTTTTCAAAGTAGTGTTTATAATATTCCCTTTCAAACATCTTTATTTGTGTGGCTGAGTCCACATAGATTACATTGCCATGATTTCACCTCTATACAGCATCTTGGAAGAGTTTCTCAGAATGTGAGATCGTGGGAGAGGTGATTTTACCCCAACCCCTGTTTTCATGGTCTCTACTTATGGATTGACTATCTCCTACACTTTCATTTTAGTAGCGTCCTGACAGGTTTTTCACCCCTCTGTTTTGCTAAATGTGGCTTAGCCTCCCCTACCAAAACAGTTCATAAAACAAAGAGTTTGCTACCGGATTTGATGTACACTTACACCACTTACAAGCCCAAATGATTTAACTGTATTTGGCTTATTTTTCTGCTTTTCAGCACTTTCAGACCATGCTGAAGTCTAAATTGAATGTCCTAACACTGAAAAAGGAACCTCTCCCAGCGGTCATCTTCCACGAGCCAGAGGCCATCGAGCTGTGCACTACCACACCGCTGATGAAGACGAGGACTCACAGTGGCTGCAAGGTATGGGGGCACACGGCCAGCAAGCTTTCTCTTGGCGGGGCAGGTTAAAGGTTGTATGGCCTTGAGTCCCAACTTGCACAATGGTACATTTTTAAGAATGAAAATATAAAATGACTGACAAAATAAACTCATTAAGGGATGGTAGTCTGAATTCATATCTTGCTTGATTTTTAATGTTAAAGCCCTCTTCACCATTTTTGGATACACATTAAAGACATGGGTTTTAGTATGGATAAAATAGTATTCTTTCCGTATTTTCTGTAGCTCTATGGAAATTTGGGCTTCACACGGAAAGTTTTATCCTTAATGATAATTCTTCCCTTTCAACTTGCAATTTGAATAAAACATATCTTAAAGAATGAAAAAATAAACAAAAGAAACAAAACAAAAACAGGCTATATGTTTATACTCTCTGAGTCTTTTGGGGGTAATTTTGCATTTTTTCTTTGCTTCCACTCTCAAAATTTACACTAATATTCATGCCTCAGAATCCAGAAAAAGCATTTTTCACTTGTGCAAACTGTAATACTGACATGGAAACAAGACTAGAAATGAAATATATAATTTTGGTGAGCTTTGGGTTCTTTCTCACATGATATTTTTTTTTTGCTTGAGTTGATGAGTATGGTAATCAGTTTAGAGGTCACAAAGAAAATATTTCTTATGCATTTTTGGTCATCAGAAATTTGAAGTGAAAATAAAATAAGGGGTAAGGAAAATGCATGCTTGCATGTGGATTTCTTTTATAATCTTGTAGATATACTCCTTTCTTTATTGCTTTCTGTATACATTCCTTGTTTTGTTTTTGTTGTCGTTGTTTGAGTCAGAGTATAGTGGCATGCTCACGGCCACACAGCCTCCACCTGCTGGGCCCAGGTGATTCTTCTGCTTCAGCCTTCCAAGTAGCTGGAACTACAGATGCACACCACCATGCCTAGCTAGTTTTTGTGGTCTCAAACCCCTGAGTTCAGGCAATCCTCTCGCCTTGGCCTCCCAAATTGCTGGGATTACAGGCTTGAGCCCATGCCTGGCCTAAACTCCTTTTCTTATTGCTTAGTTTAGGGAGGCAGTTCCTGCATAGCTGTGGTCAGGTGGGAGCCTGCAGCAATCTGGGGTGATGGTGGTATGCACAAACCTCACACACATTCATTCATTCCATACATATTTTTTTGAGTGCTCACTATCCTTCAGATACTGTGTAACACACTGTGAGCAAGACCCACTAGCATATTTATGGAATTTAACTGCTAGTTGAGAAATATGGGAGGAGAAAAACAACCATTGATTGGTGAGAAATTCAGTTGGTAAGGCAGAAAGGAGAATCTATCTTCCACAAAGAAGAGGAATGCTAATTCCCTGAGGTGGGAATGAACTTGGTATGTTTTGGAATGGAAAGGAATAGACCCCTGTATCTGAGAAGTTGGAAAAGTTGTGATAAATGGTGATGCTGGGCAGGGAAGAGCCCTGCAGTTATGGCAAGGAGTTTAGATTTTGTTCTAATTACGATAGGGGAATATCAGCAGGATTAGGCAAGTGAGCTATATGACTCCATTTTTAAAATAGTGTTTTATCTTATTTTTATGTTTTATTTCTTTTCTTTCTTTTTTTCCCTTTGTTTAAAAAGTAGTTTTTTTAACCCTTGTCCTCCTCCCTCCCTCCTTGTTTTGGAGTCCCTAGTGTCTGTTATTCCTATCTTTTTTTTTTTTTTTTGAGTTGGAGTCTCATTCTATTGCCCAGGCTGGAGTGCAGTGGCACGCTCATGGCCACCCCAGCATCGACCTGCTGTGCTCCAGCAATCCTTCTGCCTCAGCCTTCCAAGTAGCTGGAACTACAGGCACACACTACCACGCCCGGCTAATTTTTGATTTGTTATAGAGACGAGGTCTCACCAAGTTGCCTAGCCTGGTCTCGAACCCGCAGGCTCAGGCAATCTACTTGCTTTGGCCTCCCACGTGCTGGGATTACAGGCTGAGTCACCGAGCCCGGCCTATTCCTATCTTAAAAAGTGATTGTAAATGGTAACTTGGGTCAGGCAACCTTCCAGCTTTCCAAGAGCAATTGCCAGTGGCTCAGCTTTTTTTTTTGAGTTGAAGTCTCACTCTGTCGCCCAGACTGGAGTGCAGCGGCTGCTCCCGGCCACCGCAACCTCGACCTGCTGGGCTCCGGTGATCCTTCCGCCTCAGCCTTCCGAGTAGCTGGAATTACAGGCGCGCACGCCAAGCTGATTTTTTTTTTTTTTTTGATTTATTGTAGAGATGAGGGCTCGCCAAGTTGCCCAGGCAGGTCTCGAACCCGCGGGCTCAGGCAATCCACTCACCTCAGCCTCCCAAAGACAGGGGATTATAGGCTGAGCCACCGAGCCCGGCTGTGGCTCAGCTTTAACAGGAGAGAGTGAATCAACAGTACGGGCCTTAGGCCCATTACATTTGATGTTTTTGGTGCATTGAGGATATAAAGGAATTATAAAAATACTCATTAAATTTAAACATGATATGAGATCAAATTTGTTATACATTCTTCAGAAGATTTACTAATGTTATTTGGAATTCTATTCCTATTAGGGAAGATAGTGCCTCAAAGCAAGATAAAGTCAGTAGAGACAAGTATAAGAAGGAAAGTTTAGTATGATAAAGCCTACAGAGTATGTTTAAAGTGGGAAGGGGGAAAACACACAGACAATTACAGGATAAAAAGACTTAGCAATCTAACAACCTAATTCAGATATGAAAGAAGTGAGTGAGTGTGTGTGTGTGTGTGTGTGTGTGTGTGTGTGTGTGTGTGTGTGAATGAGAGCGAGAGAGAGGGAAATATTTGCTAGAATGAAAACTATTATTTTCTGAAAAAGGAATGTAGAGTTCATGTGTCTTGGACTAGTTTTTCTGTGTACTGCCTTGGGATGTGTTCATTTATTTTACTTTTAAAAGGATGTTGAAAAAAATAGTAGGAATTCAGAAATGCATGCCAAAGAGGGCGAGTGTTGTGCTGGCTTCAGTGTGTGTGGCTAGTTAGACAAAGGGAAGTCGGCAATGATTTCAGCTGGACATAGGAAGAACTTCTGCATTTAAGGTGAAAAACACATTCCACTGGGCTATAAAAAATTTATGAACTCTCCATCCCTAGAAATCACGAAGAAGCAATTCCAGGCATAGATAATCATAACCCTGGAGTCAGGGATCTGGGCCAACACCTCTTGAGGTCCTTTCCAGCATTATCATTCCATCTGAAGGGAGAAAACCTGCAACGTGTAATTCTCCAAATTGTATACTATCCACTTTAGACATTTAAATTTTAACTGGAAATATACTGGCGTTACATGCTTTAATTCTCAAGGACAACATCACCGTTGTATTGAGTCATATTCTTTTGTTAAAAAAGTTAGAGTTTTCTAACCTTGACATTTTTGTTTAAAATCCTCCCAGACCTTCCTCAGTGTTTTCTGATCATCTTCAAGAACAAAGTCCGGTGTTTCCTCTCTGATTCTTGCGAGTAACTTAGCTCACAAGATGCCAGCTGCAGAAGGAACGCTCTCTGGGGCTCACGCCTCCCAGGAATAATGAGCACAATGTAGCCTGAGCCCAGCTGCAGGGCCTGCTCAGGGGACTCTCCGTCTTCACACAGTAGTAGTTCTTTTTTCCTAACAGCTCTTGTAACCTTGGATTTGGGGAGGGAAAAAGGCAGGAGGAAGCAAAGGAAAGGGGGGGATTGGACATGGGTCATGGCGAGCACCACTGAGACCCTCGCTCATCTTAGATTTCTCATTTCCCGCTGATCTGTATTCTCCGTGGGTCCTGACGGGATTGCCTTGCCAGGCTATTCATGTTTCAGGCAGCTGGGTCTTTGTGTATTCTCTTCTATTGCTGCCACTTTTTTTTCTGGAGTAGAGTTATTTAACTGTACAACACACTGCATCCCATTAGGACTCTTGTTGTTTGGAGTATCAGATGCTGTGTCCGATTTTGCAGTAGCTACGATGGCTTGTCACACCTTTCTCCTCCTGTCTAGCAAGAGGAAATCCTAGGTGGCTTCAGCTTGTTCACAAACATTTATTGAATTAATAGTCATTGAAACCTACTGTGTGTGTGGAATTGTGGATAAAGGAATCAAGGTAGTTGTTGTAGTAGATTCCATGTATAGCCAAGTGAGAGAAATAAGACAAGTGTCCAAATGCATAGATCACAAGTGCTTCTGAAACATGTGTGTATCAGAGTCCCCTGGCAGGCAAATTCCTGGATCTTCTTCCCAGAGATTTTCATTCAGGCACTCACTTAGTGGTAGAGAATAGGAGCCTGCACTTTGAAATAAACCACGTAATTTACATTAAGGTGAACCATGCTTGGAGCTTAAATATCTGAATCACAAAGTTGTGTGTGATAAGAATAATGTAAGTGATAAACCCTGCCTGGGAGTTGTGGGGCAGAGTGGAAAATGATATCTGGGGGCTGACTATCACTTATATGGTCAGAACAGATTAAATTTTTTTTTTTAAATTTTAAATCTGTGGGGCGCAATTCAGAGTTAAGTATACAAATATTCATTATACAGTACCCTTTGCCAGCAGGCCCAGAGAATGACTTCTGAGGAAGAACTGGGTACTGGAATTTCTGTATGCCACCTTGTCCTCTAGGGAGAGCTTTCCTGTTTTGCAATGACCCTTCCAGGTCCACTCACTAAAGTTCTCAAAGCCTTCACAAAATAGTGGTGAGAAAGAAGATAATTTTAAAAAATAATAAAAATACTAATAATACACAAATAGTGATGCGAAAGAGCATATGTTTATTAATACATTAAGAACTCATCTGTGTACTTTTCATGACACAAAAGCATTGCATCCTCATAACAACCCATGGTTTAAGTGCCAGGTGTAGTTCAATTTCACAGATGAGCTAGTTGAGGCGTAGAGATGCTCATCAGCTTGTACCCAGCAAGTGATTGACACAGCCTGAATTTGAACTTCAGCAGTCTGACTCTACAGCCTCTGCTCTCTCAACCAGATGCTACTG